CTGCAAGTACCCGGACATGTGCACATTGCGTGTTCATTTTCTCTCGATCCTCACTGCTGGCTTCGAAGCTTCGAGGGAGCCACTGGACGTGAGGTTTAATGCGGAGAAAGGACATTTGGATTGCAGTTAGAGTGCGGCCGTTCCGTGAACTTGTCTGTGTTGCCAAAACTTCACATTCCACCATTGAGGGAGCATGCCCATCGTGGACGGCGTGGAGATTTTCAGCGTGAGACTGGTCGATGGCTTTACGAAAAGCCTGTGCGTCCAGGCCATCTTTGCACTGATGCACAAGCTGGACTGCTTGGTTGCAAATATTACAACTTCAAGAAGCAGCTACAGTAGCTGCTTCTCGTTTTTGCTCTGTGTGTGTGTGAGACTTCGCATGCGAGGAAGTGACACCGGAGGAGTTGGCCCAGGACGACAGTATGGCACTGTGTGTGTCAACGCTGAAGTATCTTAAGGGCAACTTCAAGAGGCATGATCGGGAGGAAGAGTACTTGTACGATGCTCTTGCATTGACCCAGCGGACTGGAGAGAAACAACAGGCGAGTCCGATGGAGTTGGTCAGTGTGTTCAGCGAGGCGATTCGTTTGAAGAAGAGGTCCCTCGGAGCCAAATCGACTCGTGACCTTCTCAACCTCTGCGTCCAAGATTACAATAAGGTTGTCGGGAAGGCCAGGGCAGGGATCCGTCTAAATCCGTTTAAGCTCTGTGTGGAATTTGGGTGGTAACAAGCAATGAAACAACATGAAACAACGTTTTGATTCAGCCCGAAGTGTGCTCTCAAATTTATTTTGCTTTCTGGATCCGTCGACCAAACGGCCCCCGACACTCATATGTCTTCGTCCTCTTGTGTTTGGTCATGGTGCCGGGTGCTTGACAGGGGCAGAAGATCAAGCAGGAGACCATCAAGATCATCTACAATGTTGTCCGATGCCCCTTGGTCTTCAAGGAAGTCTTGATGACCATGTACAGCGACTACCGACACTTCAATGCAGGCTGGGGCATTTGCTTTGGCACTCCGACTTGCAGATTTGTATAATGGTTTGATTTGTCGTTCTTCCCTATCAGCTCTGACGCTGGACAACCTTGCTGGTGATTTCTACGTCCCTGGGACCAACCTTGCGAAGAGCGACAAGGGGAGATGGCCAGAAATCCTGGTTTCTCAATTGCAGCCAAATGATAGCTGAGCTTCGATTACAATGTTTCAAGTTGTCTGTCTGCGCTTGTATATGTGTGTGTAGAAGCGGGTTGAGGTTGAGGCTCCTTGAATGGAAATTATACTTCTGAGGTTGCTTTCCTTTAGTTACGGGACTCCCTATTGGAGGTCTGGAATGAAGGCTCCTTGGTTGTGTACTCATTGACTCGGGTCCACTTGAAAAACCATAGATATCCTTCCGAACCTTCTTCGTACAGCAGTGATATGTGTTGTCATCTTGTTATGACACGATGTGCCCCAGCCACTTCTAGTTCTCCCTCCAACCCCAACCCCAACCCGCCATCCGTCCCCAAGTTCGATTCCGACCCCAACCCTACCCAACCCTGGCAGCCCGCCACAAGGAGGTGACCGAGACTGCCACAGTCACTTGGGTGAAGCGGGTGACTGCGGCCCACAGAAGCAAGGCCCCCCCTGACGCGAGTGTGCGCACCCAGGCTGGCTTCTTGCAAAGCACCGGTTTGTGCCTGCTGTTTGTGCTTTACCATCACAGCTGCTGCAACTGAATCCTTGTTGGCAGAAGTCAGCGCAACTGGGCAATGATCAGCTGAAAGAGATGATGGAGATGTGCTGTTTGTGGGAGTGGCTGACTCCGATGATGCAGCGAACCTTGGGCAGTGGCAGCCAGAAGCTGATGGATGCCTGGGAGATGGGGAGCCTGGGCTTAATTATCGCATGTATTTCCAGCCTGGCACTTGACCTGTGGACTGACTTTTCTTTGTTAGCTGTCCTGGCTCCAAGTACCTGTGGGTAGTAGACTTGCATCCTAGCCACCATCATGGCAGAAGGGGCACGAGGATCGAACGACGGTGGGAGAAAGCGAATGCCGAGAACATCAGAAGAGAAATTTCCGAAAGGTTACTTCGATTCTGCAACTGCTATTGATTTCATCCAGCTTGGAATATACAGCATTCCACAGATCTACCGTCGCGCAGAAAGCTTGACCAAGTCAGTGCCGGGGCTTCAGTTAAAAACTTACTAGTTCCAGTGTTGTCTGTGTAGTAAAGAAAACTCTTCAAGTTCCAATGAGTGAAATATTACCATTCAGGACTGGGCGTCAGCCCGCAGATTGGGCAGGAGGCTCCAGACTGTCGTTCAAAGCCACGAGATTTCTCGAATGCAACTAGAAGACCGTCGGTGCTGAGACGGATGCCATGACACAAACTGTTTGTTGGGCTTACGAATGAATGTTCAGAGCCGTTGCCAATTCGATGCATTCGCCAGGCAGCCGGGGCTGGGAAAATTCAATGTATTCTCGGAGCCCAACCCCTCGGGTTTCAAATACATGGATTATGCTACAACCACCAACAAGGGAGTAATTCAATGTATTTTGGAGACCCTGAACCCAAGGCCAGAAAATACATTGAAATCCAGGATTCAATGTATTTATTGATAAGCAGAAACCATTCAATGTATTTCTAGGATATAGATCCAGGACCATCAAAATACATTGGTAGTGCCCGCAAAAGAGACAAATACATTGAAATCCAGAATTCAATGTATTTCTGGCGATCAGATGCCAGAGCCCGAAAATACATTGAATTTCTGAATCATAGTAGATTAAAGATTTCGGTCTGTATCTGCCCAGCACCGGTGTAGTCTGTAGTTCTGTGATTTACAGGGTCTCCCTCCAGATGGTGGTCGATTCCAGTAGTATTGCCTGGTTCCAGCAGATCGAAGTCGTCATACTACATAGTTGGGTGTCTGAGATTATGTAGAATTGCCCATCACACCGATCAGTCTCGTCAAATTAGCATGGTTCGACTCCAGATGCTGTAGTTTGCCAGAATGCGAAATGAAAGAGTTCTGCATGTGTGTGTGTGTGTGTCAGAGGGCGCATGTGCATGTGTCAAATGTGACGAGTCACGGTCGAGACTTTGTGGGCACAATTCAAAAGAAGTTAGAAATCGTCTTTGCAACTGAGGACCCTGGATATGGAACTTCGCGGAGTTCTCAGGGTTCGGGATCCAGCGTGGAACCCGGAGAAGATGGGATTCTTTCTCGAAGCTCGGGGAAACATGCAGCATCAGTTCATGGAGAAAGGGCAAGCAACGGTTCAGAATGCTTTGCGTGTGGCAGAGAAGTCAGCCTTTGACTTGTTCCTGAGCCAGTTGCAGCAAGACCAGAGTTTTTTCCGAGCGCGCCTTTTCTATATCAGTCAGCATGATGCATGATGTGTTTGTGTGTGTGTGCGGTGTGTGGTGCTCGAGAAACTTTCCCTGCAGCAACCAAGGGAACTGCTCAGAACCTCCGGTGACTCGGAAAGGAAGCGCCAGGCTGCAGTTTCCATGCTGGAGGCTGGAATTTAAAGGCTCTTCAGTGTCAAGCTGTCTCTTGTAATATCAGTCCTTAGCTGGCCGTTGTTGGTCAACCAGTCCCAAGCTGATTTTGCGAACCAGTACCGAACTGTTTGGCGAATCAGTCCCGAGCTGCTTTGCGAACCAGTCCCGAGCTGTTTTGCGAACCAGTCCCAAGCAGATTTTGCGAACCAGTCCCAAGCCGTTTTGCGAACCAGTCCCAAGCTGTTCTGCGGCCAGTCCCAGACCGTTTTGGGAACCAGTCCCAAGCAGTGTTGTGACAAGTCCCAAGTTGAATTAGCCAACATTATGTCTAGGTTATTTTCTGGCTGCTCTTAATGTGAGAAGACTGACCCTCAGTCTCTGCACAAGTCGGCTTGGCAACACGTGCGACGATTTGGTGACGATGGCTTCCCGGTGTTCAACTTGACACCGAAGAAGCGGCAAGGCTGTGAGCGTGAGTTCGAAAGCCCGCCAATGGAGCCACTTGTGAAACCATGGTTGGCAGAGGCTTTGGCAGGCCTCCAGGGTGGAGTACGGTCCGCGTCCTCGGAGATGATCGTCTACATTGCCAATTTGGTGGCGCAGGGAGTTGTGAGCTCCGCGAAGCAAACTTTTCTTGTGCAGTCACTACAGAGTGCCGCTGCCCATCATCCGAACAGCTTCGTGGGAGTGGTCATTTTGCCAAACCGGGCATGTGATGAGAGCTACCTGTGCAGGAAGCCTGCTTCGAGTCTTCTTGCAATTCAGAGAGAGAGGTAGAGAGAGAAAGACAGAGAGAGAGAGAGAGCTGAGAGAGATAGATAGTCAGACAAAGAAAGAGAGAGAGAGAGAGAGAGAGAGAGAGAGAGAGAGAGAGAGAGAGAGAGAGAGAGAGAGAGAGAGAGAGAGAGAGAGAGAGAGAGAGAGAGAGAGAGAGAGAGAGAGAGGGAGAGAGAGAGAGAGAGTGTGTGTGTGTGTATGTGTGTTTGGGAGTTGAGTGATTGAGTGGGTGGGTGTGAGCAAGTCACAAAATAGCAGTGTTGTGTTTCGTGTGTACAGGCGACGGTTTTTTATTGTTTCTCCGAGGGGGTATTTGCTGTGAAGAGCCTAGGAAGGAAGAGGACGTGAAGGAGGAGACCCAGGAGCCCGAGGAAGCAGAGGATGAGGACGGCGAGAAGGCCATCGACGTGGAGGCCGCGACGTCTCTTCGGGACTTTAAGTACCAACTCCAGGTCCTGTTGCAGGAGCCGGCGAGACAGCTGACGGTCCGATCCTTGACACTCATCTTCGATGAGACGAGCATCTATGGGCAGAGAGCTGCGGTTCACGAGGCTTGGCTGATCACGAGTTCGGCTTCGACTGTCATGCCGCGAAAGAGCTTGTTCAAGCGTCTCATCGTGGAGAAGATCCCAATGTTGCCGCGCAATGTTGTTTGTCTGCATTTTGTGCCCATGTGCAGGTGTGGACTAAATGAAACTTAGTGTCATTGTGGGTGCTCTGAGGACATGCTCAAAGTGGAGGTGGGCCGCAAGATTTCTGCAGACACGGACCGCTTGTCCCGCACGCAGGACATGGCTGCAGTTTGTTTGTCGCAGTGTCTTTCGTGTGACTTGCAATAACAGAGATGATGGCACTGATTGTCATGTGTTTGTAGATCAACACATGAGGAGCTCCGGCAGCACCTCGGCGGAACGGGGGTCATCAAGAAGATTTTGGGGAGCCTTGACATTTCCAAAAGCAAGACTGTGGTGGTCGACTTGTTTGCGCACGATGGATGGATTCCACTTGCTTGTTTGCAGCTGCACATAGAAAACCATTCTATTGCATGCGGCTCCGTTGCGCACACCGAAATCGAGTACAAGTTCACCAAGGAAGGGATTGAACAAGTTTTAGGTGGTTGAGGCCGGTTGAGGTATCATCCCGGATTGGAGAATTTTATCTACAGTCTGTAGACTTGGAAAGGAGGTGCTCCTGCATGACTTCTTCGGCCGGGCCAAGTCGAAGCAGCTCAACATTGCAGGCTTCCCCGATTTCACCGCGGCCTTGACCGACTTGAGCAAAGTGCACACGGAGAGCTCCCGGCCGGACTACGAGTACCTCGTGACCATGCCTGTGGGTGCTGACCTCATCGTGCTTGAGGCTTTGATGGCCAAGTTCGAGAACTCGGCCTTTGCAGGTGAGTTTTCTGCGATCTTGAAAAAGCACGACGAGGAGTTCAACAAGCAGCACAAGAAGGCCACCCTAGCAGATGCCCGCACTGAACTGGAGAACCTTCGAAGGAAGCGCGAGGCCAACACGCCCAGGAAGCTCGAAAAGGCTTACGAGGACATGACCGCTTTCCGTGCGGAGCACAAGCAGCTTCTTGTTAGATTTATTAAAGTGGACGGTCTGTGGGTATTCGATGTGCTCGGGTGTACAGTCTCTCTTCGGTCGTGTTTGAGTTGTTTGGGTTTGAACACGTCAGGCTCTTGGTGTGTTTGAGTTGTTTGGGATTGAACACATCAGGCTCCTCGAGACCACATGTGGTGACGTCGCCCTGTACTACGACTCGGATGACAACACATTGTGGGTGGGGTCGGACCGAATCTGTGCCATCCCTCCAAAGACGGAGTGGTTCGGTTTCGGCTCAGGCAATTTCGTGGATGGGCCTACGGCAAAGGACGTCCTTTCGGATGCCAACGGCCGTTGGTATCGCTACTCCTTGGCTGGAGCCTTGTCTGATGTGACTGTGATCTTTGAATGCGACAGAAAGCTTCCAGAGGAACTCAAGTCGCTCCCCATGTGGAACCAGGCTGGGGTTTCAAGAGTACAAGTAGTGCTGCAATTCACGGAACAAGTACCATTGCTTTGATTTCTAGAGGTTCCGAATAAATTCGTAAACTGTGTAACGCAGGCCGTGACCTTGAAGGAGTTCCTAGTGGCCATGGAGGACAAAGGCGAGATCATTTCGTTTATGGGGCACACGAAGGACAACGATCAGCTGAAGGTCGATGAGAACATCGTTTTCATCATGGATGATGCGAAATCCAGCCCGGCCAAGAAAAGGCGAGTCTCGAAGGCACTGCTGGGGCTTAGACTCGTTCTTTTCAGTTTTAAGAGCACTGCTCAACCCGATGATAATAGTTGTTTTGCGGAACAAAAACCCCCTCCCCTCCCACCCTTCCCAGTTTAATTGGCTATGTTTCGTCGACCGAATCCGAAGCCAATGGTACCACTGTTAGCTTAAAGCCCCCACAGCCTTTACAGCTCATCAACTGTTCATCTCTTGTCGCAGGTGAGGCCTCTGGTTTTCGGTGCACACATGGATGCTGTGAAGCTTCGCTCTGTTCGCAGCCCTTTCAAGCTGACCTGGCGTGTGAGGCCTGCCAGTGAGACCTTCAACTTTCTGAGCCCTTGATTACTCCAGTTCAAGATTCGTGAAGCTGTGCACCCTGCCAGGATGAACAACAATCGGCAGATCACTCCGGTGCGGCCTGTCTTGATCCACATGTCTGAGCTGTCTGTCCAGCCAGGAGTTTTCCGAGCTCTCTGAGCTAGTTCCGGGCTCTCACGAGCCTGCAGTGGGATCGGCAAGCCATCGGGGATAACCTGGGATGCTTGCCCTATAGGGGCTCAAGATTCCAGCAGGCTTAGTGTGGCAGGGGAGGAATGGTTTCGAACTTATCGGGGTCATGACCTTATTGCTGACATGTCTGCAAGTCGACTGTATGGTCTGGAGGAACATACTTAAAACTTAGTTGGGAACGGTTACACAATCCTGAGATCGACTGTGAATCCATTCTTTCACTTGTCTGCCTGTGCGAGTCTTGCTCGGGTGCTGCACAAGTAGGAGCAAAGCCAGGGCCTATGTCGGGCGAAGCGGCTTACTTAGAGGAGTGCTGCTCCCTCTTTCTTGCTCTGGGCCTTCGTGTGTTGTTGGATGCCAGTGTTACCAGGTTGTGAATGACTCCTGTCAAGCAGACTGTATAGGATGCAGTACACAGTGCCAGATTCCTAGGGCTTGAAAGAACTTTTGCTGCGCAAGCTGTCAGTGTCTGAAGACAGTCATTGTGCACACTGCTTATCGCGACAAAACATTGATCAGTGCAAGCCGAGGCGCTCTGTCAGCTGCTGTAGTATCAGATCTCTCCTGTGCACGATTGATGCAATGATCCCATCTGGATGTCAGGGTCTCTCTGAGCTTTTTGGGTTACAGGATAGTGCTGCTACCTGTGGCAGCCTGGCCCCTTAGTTTTCCCGAAGATGGATGTGGCCAGCACTGATACCTCCCCTTCCTTCAACTCGCCTCCCTTTTCTGTGGAAGCCTATGAGAGTGACTTGCAGACACTGCACGCTGCTGCCAGCCAAGTGGAAGCAAAGTGCAAGGCGGGACCCAAGGCAGCATCTGCCACCCTTCGGAAGCTCGATAGGTTCGAAGTGAAAGATAGCGACGATGAGGACGGGGACCTGGGATCAGCCGATGAGCTGGACCTGGAGGAGGGTGAAGAGGAGGAAGAAGAGGAGGACTCAACAATCAAGAAGAGACCTGCCAAAAAAGGGGCGGGTGGCAAAGCCAAGGATAAGAAGAACAAGAAGAAGAAGAGTGGGAGTGACGAGCCAGACAAAAAAAACAACAAGCACAGCAATGACGACGATGAAGAATCCGATGAAGATGAGGCGCCCGTGATGTTATGCTGACTTCATGCAGTTTACATACCTGTACATGTCGCTGTACAACAGTAAGCATATCGCAGCACAGGCACCCAAGAAAGGCCGAGGCCGTGGACGTGGCAGGAAGAACGAATCCAAGGGATCCAGGCGCAAGTCTTCGAAGAAGAAAGAATCAAAGAAGAAACACAATTCGAAGAAAAAGAAGAGCAACAAGGGCAAGCGACGTGCCGCAACGGGCGGCAACCTCCTCGAGACGATGCTAGCACAAGCCCAGGACCGATTGTTCACCTCCGATTCGAGAATCATGTGCATCTGAGAAGTTGAACACTTAGTTTCGTAGCAACCTGTTGCGGGCTAGGATGCGGAACGGACCTTCGGCTCTGGATCGGCGGCTGCTGTGTGGTCTTCCGGAAGCGAGGACTCTTCTATATGCTTTGGGGCTAACCTAAACAACCCTATCAAAATCTAATACATCTGGCTCCCACATCAGGACGGCTCCTCTTCGTCGGACGGCTCAGAATCGAGTGCATCTCGGCAAACACGAACTTCATTACAAGCAATGCCTCGGCTGTGGGATAGTGGGATCATTATAGGGAGGATCTGAGGCTCATTAGGCTTTCGTTGGGATTTCGAGTTATGTTTTTTTGTTTCGGCCGGGTAGTAATAGGAACTTCGTTAACTCCTCACCACTTGCCAACAGTCTGACAATTGTGGTTTCGCAGCTTCCATATTGCAAGCAATGCCTCGGCTGTGGGATAGTGGGATCATTATAGGGAGCATCGGAGCCTGAGGGCTAGGGTTAGGCTTTCGTTGGGATTTCGGTTTCTGAGGTTTAGGGTATCCGGGTATCTTGGTGGCCGGGTAGTAATTTTAGGTGAACTTCGCTAACTCCTCACCAGTTGCCAGCAGTGACAGTTGTGGTTTCGCAGCTTCCCCATTACAAGCAATGCCTCGGATGTGAGATAGTGGGAACACTATACGGAGCATCGGAGCCTCAGGGCTAGGGTTAGGCATTCGTTGGGATTTCGGTTTCTGGGGTATCCGGGTATCTTGGTGGCCGGGTAGTAAAAACAGGTGAACTTCGTTAACTCCTCACCATCTGCCAACAGTGACAATTACAGGGCAACCAATTTCTGCAAGCCTTGGGATGATAGCTATATGATTATTAATCATCATATGGGTTCTGAGGGGGGTTATATACGGTATATACCATAATACTTAAACCCAACAAATCTCCCTGGTACTGTCTGATGTTCTGCAGTCTTATGTTCTTCAAGGTTCCCTAAAGACCCCCAAACCACCCTAAGAATAATAACCCAAACCCCGTGTCAGGGTCGAAAGACCCAGTGACGTGTGGCCCAAAGCCAAAGGCATCGCAAGTGAGTCAGACAGACAAAATATGTGCAAACCCTCGCCACCGACCAGTTAAATTAATCACCCCAGCCCAAACCCCCGACATCCATGTAACAGTTCCGTCATCCCCTCAGGAATATAATGAGGTTTCAGAGGGAGTCAGCTGCAAGCCCAGGAATCACAAGCAGCCGCCGATGATCTTCTGCGCGACAACGGCGCAACTCCTGCCGCTTGCTTGAATCGTGCAAGTGTCCGAGCGCGCGCTTCGTGTTCATAGGGCAGACATACATCAACCCATGTGTTCACGGACATGCTGGCGGAAGGCCGAACTTGATCTACATCTATTTAGATGTATTCACATACAGCTATTATATCGAATGTGTTTGTGCCGGATGTAGAAAGCCATGGTAAACCTTCCAATCTGGTAAACCTTCCAATCTAGTTACTTCGTAAACTCACAAAGCAATAACTACCCAGGTGCCTCCGAACGATGATGGCGCGGACGTGGCTGCATCTGCCTCTCTGACTTCACCGCGGGTGTCAGGGTTCTTTGCAGGTTGAGGGTCTGAGCCCAAACTATTGTGAACTGTTTACTTAGCTGTATGATACCAAACATGTCTCGAAATTTACTCTGTGCATATATGCTTCTGCATGCCGGGCAGCATCTGCTTCGAGGGGTTGTCCATTGTCGAATCTCAGGATCTTGATCCAGTCACCCAGCATTGTGTAGTGATAGAAGCCTCGGGGATGTTTTGAAGTCGAAAATACATGGGTCCCAGTTTCCTTACAGCCCCTGGTCAAAGATAGACTCATACCTTCGACTCGCACCCAGTGAAGCTCAAATCCACATTGACCCGACAATAGATGTAACCCCATGTATTTCTCAGTTCTCAGACCCATAAAGCCGACGACAGCTGCAACCTGTATTTCTCAGACCCACATATCCAAGGATAGCTGCAACCTGTCTTATACTTCTCAGAAACATTATAGGCCGACGATGGTTAACCTCGTATATTTAATTTTCCAGACCCATAAATCCAACGATAGGTCTAATCCCCTTCATCCGAGGATCCTGTAGTTTCCCAGACCCACATAATAGGAAATAATAGCTGTTCTGTATTTCTCAGACACATCAATCCGACGACAGCTGTACCGCCTGCAGACCAACATGTCCGAGGATAGCGCTAGCCTCCTGTAATTCTCAGAGCTACATATCCGAGGCTAGCTGTAACCTGTCTTACTTTTCTCAGATCCACCTGTCCCAGGATAGGGGTAACATCCTGTACTTTCTCAGACCCATAAGGCAGAGGATAGCTTTAACTGTCTGTAGTTTCTCAGACCAGTATATCCGAGGATAGCTGTAACCTCTTGTAGTTTCCCAGACCCATGTATCCGACGATAGCTCTAATCTCCTGTAGTTTCTCAGACCCATATCACCGACAATAGCTCTATTTTTTGTATAGATTCTCAGACCCATATTCCGAGGATAGCTGTAATATCCGGTAGTTTCTCAAACCCATATATTCAAGGATAGCTGTGACCTCCTGTATTTCTCAGACCCATATATCCGAGGATAGCTGTAACCTCCCAACAATAGTTTCTCGGACCAATATCGTATCCGAGGCTAGCGATGACCTGTGCTTTCTGAGACCCATATATCCGGAAATAGCTGCTCTGTATTTCTGTTCTCTGACCCATCAATCCGACGACAGCTGTATAAGTACCCTGTCCTGTAGTTCTCAGACCAATACATCCGAGGATAGCTGTAACCTGTCTTATAGTTCTCAGACCCATAAAGCCGAGGATGGTTTGAACTTTCTGGAGTTTATCAGACTGATTTATCCGAGGATAACTTTAACCTCATGTAGTTTCCCAGACCCATAAATCCGACGAAGGCTCTTATCTCCTGTGATTTCTCAGACCCATATAGCCGATGATAGCTGTATACTCCTGGAGTTTCTCAGACGCATATATGCGAGGATAGCCCCAATATCCTGCAGTTTCTCAGACCCATATAGCCGATGATAGCTGTATACTCCTGGAGTTTCTCAGACGCATATATGCGAGGATAGCCCCAATATCCTGCAGTTTCTCAGACCCATATATCCGAGGATAGCTGTGACTTCCTGTAGTTTCTCAGACCCATATAGCTGTGACTTCCTGTCGTTTCTCGGGCCCATATATCCGAAGATAGCCATGGCTATGACATCCTGTAGTTTCTCAGACCCATATACCCTGTAGTCTCGGTGTTTAACTCCGGCTTTGTATTCTTGGTTAGAGTTGGGCTTGTTTGGGATTCTAGGATTCTTTATGCCCCGTCCCCGCATTGCAAATCCTCCCGAGGCTCCGGATGTCGACCAGCAGCAGCCAGAGCGCAGATTGACGGCTGAAGCA